CCCTCTCTCCCTCCCGGCAAAAAAAAAAAAAAAGGCCTCCCCAGCCGGGTTACCTTTCTCCCCTCCCCCCCCCCCCCCCCCCAACCCCCCCCCCATCACTTCCGCGCGCCCCGTTGCCAGGCAACGCAGCCAGGGAGCCCCCCCTCCCCCTTTTACACCCCCCCGTCCCGTCCCGTCCCGTCCGCCTCACCACGATGCAACGGCCTTCGGCGCCGGCGCCCCCGCTGTTTCCGGCCATGGCGGCGGGAAAGCGGCCGCCGCGCTGCTCCTGCCGCCCCGCCAGCCGCCGAGGGTGCCGGGGCCGCTTCTGCCGCCGCGGCTGCTGCTGCTGCTGCTCCTCGCGGGAGGGAGAGGGGGGGAGGGGGGTAGGCGCGCGCCGCGCCCCGCCCCGCCCCGCCGAACGTGCGAGAGCGGCCGGCCGGCAGGGAGGGGCTGAGGGGCGGGGTGGGGGGGCGCGCGCGGGCGCCCCTGGCGGCCAACCTGGTCCGTTGGTCGGTCGGAGCGGCGGTTCCCGCCAAAGCTGGTTTACCTCAGATGAGACGCTTCCCTCCCCCCCCCCCCCCCCCCCCCGCACTCTGGCACAGTAAACCATAAATCCCGTGAATCACCTGGTTGGAAGCCGCTCCGAGTCACCTGGGTTGGGGAAGGTGGGCGGCATAGAAATATAAATAAATAGTGTAAATTAAATAAAGAAGTGAAATGTAGACCCTGGCTGCCTGGATAGATAGGTAGGTAGATACATAGATATAATAAAAAATCACATTACAAATTACAAATAAAATGAGAAATGAAATGAAACGTAGACACTGGCTGCCTAGAGATATAGATAATAGATTATAAATTATAAAAATAAGAAATGAAATGTAGACCCTGGCTGCCTGGATAGGTAGGTAGGTAGGTAGGTAGGTAGGTAGGTAGGTAGGTAGGTAGATAGATAGATAGATAGATAGATAGATAGATAGATAGATTAGATTAGATTAGATTAGATTAGATAGATAGATTAGATAGATTAGATTAGATAGATTAGATTAGATAAGATAGATAGATAAGATTAGATAGATAGATAGATTAGATAGATAGATAGATAGATAGATAGATAGATAGATAGATAGATAGATAGATAGATAGATAGATAGATAGATAGATAAAAAAAATAAAGCACATTACAAATTATAGAGAAATGAAATGAAAACGGAGACACTGGCTCTGCCTAGAGATGACAGACAGAGAGAAAGAGATGAATGATAGAGACGGATGGATGGATAGAGAGGGAGGGATAAATAGATGGATGGATAAAATAAAAAATAAATCAGATTATAAATAAGAAATGTAATATAGACACCTAGATGTCTCTGGGCAAACCTTTCTTAGCTAAATCCGGGTTTGGGGAAGGTCCGCCCTCCCCAATGTGGCTTAACAACAATAACAATAATGAAATAGAGGCAGCCCCCTGGTCCCTTTCTATGTAGGTCAGTATGTTTAATTCTGCCCCGTGGTTTTGAAGGTTTTGACATGCTTTAAGGTGTTTTTTTTTTAAAAAAAGTTTAATTTTACTGTGGTGCTTCAAGGGAGGGTCGATCGTGTTTTAGTATTTAAATAAATCAGCTTTAATCTGGCCCACTCCTATGTTCAAGAAGCCAGTTCTTTCCGGCATCCAAGCCCAGAAATTTAGTTTTTCTTACATCCCCCCTTCTCTGAATGTTCTGATCCTCAAAATCAAAAATCTGGGCTGGAAATTTGGAGATCTTTTTTTAATAATATGCACCAGGAGGGCACCTAGATTGGGAAACTGTGTCTTAAGGATGGGGATTTATTTTTGTTAGTATCGCTTACAAATAAACTCAAGGCAGCGAACATATCTAAACACACTTTCCTCTTCCTATTTTCCCCACAACAACCCTGAGGTGGGCTGAGGCACCCATCTAGCTTCCATGGGTAAGGCAGGACTTGAACTCACAGCCTCCTGCTTTCTAGTCTGGTGCCTTAACCACCAGGCCAACCTGGCTAGGTTTGCTATTGCTTCCCCTTTGCCAGTCTCAGGGTCCCAACTAGGAAACCCTGTTAAAGAATTAAAAATCTGTTTCATCTGGATATTAGTTTGCTCCAATGAGGTAAACTAGTGTGAATAGAGGACTATGAAATTGGTAGGCAGAAGGGTGCAAGCACAAGAAATCCTTCCAAAGAGAGGACTTTTAAAAAAAAATCTTTGTGCTGCTCTTCTGAATGGCAGATGCCTGAAAATACAAAGTGCCATTTTTTTTAATTAATAAAAGTGTTAAATTGCCCTTCCTTATGAAAGACATTTGACCTCTTGCTTGTACTTCCTTTTGCTTTCTGCTTGCAGAAATCGTTGGTATGGGTTGCGTGTGTGTTGCTATGGTTCTCTTGGCGTGTGCTAATCTGCACCCACTGGGGAGAACACCTGTGGGCTGCAAAACCCATTGATCGGGGACTCTGTCCTTTGTTCAGCAGGTAAGACAAGAAGGGCTTGTTAAATATTATCTGTGTTTCTGGTTCCAATTCAAGGCCGTTAGTCAACAGGAGGATGAATCCTGCCATCCTTCTAAATTTAAATTTGCAGAGTTTGCTTGCCTTGAGATTGCTAAACAAATGAATGCTGGATCTAAAGAGGCAAACTTCTACTTATCTCTTTGCAGCCATACATGGATGAACATGTGTTATATTTATCCAAAGTTCTCTTCCAGATGCCTCCATTAAATAAAGTGGTGGTATCCTTCAAATTACTCATTGATACTTACATCATTTTTACCAGATGTGCTGGGTCATTACTCTTTTATTCCCTAATATGCTGTATTTTGGCAACTACCATAATATTTTACAACTTTCAAGTTGCTGTATCTGTGTTCTAGGGCTTATCTCCATTGTTATCTGCTGTGTCTTTGTTCTCTGCCTAGAGAATTATGCTTTTGGGGAGATCTGAAACAATAAACTTGTAGTTATCATTACTGCTTCTGTGCATTCTAAAGAATAAAAATGACAGCCCCTATGCAGTATGGAATAGAACACATCTCGCACATTTCAAGGGCGAAGCCCTATGCTAATGTGGCTGATAATTCAAAGAAATAAGGAATTGTTTGGAGAATGACGACACATATATTTTCAAAAGATAACACTTTCCCCAGCAGAATAAAGGCAAAAGTCAGAGTTGGTCTGAAACCCAGAAAAGCCACTTTTCCTTGTATGCTTATGACTGCATTTAAAATAAATCCTGGATTACTTCTAATCCCATTTTAAAAAATGCAACAAAAGCAGAACTAAAGAGCTTTTTCAGGCATAGCCAAGAATTATAGGTATTTCTGAAACAAGTGCAACACTATCATTTGGTCCGAAATAAATCTTGCCATGTTTAGGATGGCGTATTTCAAGTGAGCACAAGATTACAATACATGCCTTACGAGCAGGGTCTTCCACCTCACATACTTCCTCTTCATCTCTTGCCCCCCCCCCCCAATAAATTTTAGACAGTAAACTTTTTAGAAGCAGGGATGACTTTTTTTTAATGCTTCTAAGGAACATCTCCCCCCCCCCACACACACACACACTGATAGCACTATACAAATGAATATTTACAATAGTATTGAAGACTTGGTGGGAAATAAGAGCAAAGTCTATGGAGTGTGTACAGTAGACTAAATTCCATTCTTCTGTAGGGCTCATTTGTCCTAGAAGCAAAAATGCTGCTTGGGAGAAGCTATGTTCCAAAACAGTTGCTGTGACCCCAGTGCAGGAAAGTATAAAAGCAGATTTACAACTGCAGCAGGATTTGATGAGTACAACATGGCTGAATGTACACATGCTTTCAAAAGATGCCTGTAGAAAATTCCCAGCAAGCCCCCCACCCCCACCCAAAAAGGCAATGGGTTGAAACAGGATCTCTCTTCTGAATCCAACAGAATATACTTACAAAGTTTTATATATGGCTGCAAATGATTAATATTTACATTTTAATTGCATCTTTTCCTCTTTATGTATGTAGGAGTGTTCCCTCACTGCACCCTCAGCAACCATTTGCTAGCAGTGAGTTGGGAGGGAAACTGTTTTCTATGGCAGAATCTACTGAATCTGCTGCATGTAACCAATTTGGTCAGTCCCAGACACCAAATGGCTATTGATCAGACTTATCAGAGGACCCTTACAACTGTTAGGAGAGGTTGTGCCTTTCAGTCTGGCAACTTTGGTCTACCCAGAAGGACACAGAAAATAGTTACACCTTTTATTGTGAAAGGCTGTTTTTGTTTTAAAAGCAAAACATCACTGATTAAATTCTAATATTATTTCAGGCAAATAATGGAATCTGATCATTTCAACACTCTGCCCTTTTATGAACTTTGCTATGTGGAAAGCTACTGCAGATTGGAATAAGACTAGAAACAGAATTTCCCATTGAAATGGCATGTATAACATCATCCTATTTTTAACTAAGTCCACAAGGCACAGTTTCCATTGCTGTCAGCTTTTTTCGTGCATATCAGAATTAAACAGGAAGTTACAATGAGCGCTCATGGTCTTCATATCCAGAAGAGAAAGAATGTTCTACCAATTAGTCCTTTTAAATAAGTGGAATGGAAATGGGGAACTCCCACTGATTTTTTAAGTGAGTCAAAGAACAAAAGTATAGATGTCTGAGAAATCAAAACCAAAATCAGAGTACTGAGATCCTGCAAACGAAATGTAAACTCTGTACACATTTAAAGAACACAACACAATCCGTTCTTTTGAAAAACTGCACAGCCTGCTAAAATATCTATTTCAGTACAAGTGGCGCCTTTAATTTTGAAAGTTACATTACAAAATAAAAAAAAATTGGTCAATGGCATAAGAGCAATTAACAGATTTATTTTTATACACAACTTTCCTACTAAACTGCATTCTTCTATGAAGTTTTCAAACCCAAATGGATTGAATTCCAACTTGAGAGCCTTAGAGGTTCTTATACACAATAGTTGAGTCCCTCAAGATAATGAAATGCATTTTTTTTAAAAAAAAGCAGACAAAAGGTTAAAAATAAAAAAATAAACAAGACTTCATAAACAAAGGTATCACAGAAAGGTTTTTTTTGCAGTGTAAACTGCTAGTGAATGTTCTCAGCTTTTCATCCAATTATCAGCCTGTTCCAATCTGCTGCCTTAATCTGACATTTGAGAGATAAGAAAAATATCTGAAGAGTGAAATTGGCAGTTTGCTAACAAGTTTAACTTTGTTTTTAGAATAGGTTCAACCAAACACTTGAAGCAATTACAAGAAATACCAGGATTCTGTGACGTCAAAACTGGGATGTTAAGACTTAACATAATTTCAGCCATCCTTGCAGGTTAATAGCACTCATTGATTTGCCAGGAAACTTTGATGAAGTATCAAAACATTCTCATATAGTGGTCACGACACAAAATAAATACTGACCTCTTACCTCAAAAACAAAAACAGAAAGACAAGACTCAATGTCTTATTTTCATTCTTCTTACAGCATACAGGATCTGTGTATATATATATATATATAAATATATATATATATTTGGACAAAACTTGTGTTCTACACAGCACAGAGCACTTGAGGTATGATGTCCAATAGAGGGGATTAAATTCCAAAGTGAGCATTAAGCAGTAACTTGGAAATCTAAGAGAAACGGGCCAGCACTGAACACTCCCAGAAGACAACACCTTGTTTTCAGTTATTCCAGCCACAGGGTTCAAATAAAAGGAGAAGGAAGGAAAGAATGAACCACAGCCTTTTGGTATAACTCTCAAATCTCACAGCTTACAGTCAGCAATGGCCGGAGCAGTCTCTGGGCAGTAGAATCCTCCCAAAAGAGCCATTCCAAAGACTCAAAGCAGGTGTCTGGAGCTGAGAATGGTTTTTTGTACGTTGGCCATTTTGCAAAAGGGATCAGTTCATTGCCTCCTGGTTTGCTTCCATAATTTGCATGGGAAGGAAAATGTAAAATGCACACATTCTACAGCCGTGCTATCGAAACAGGCACATCCAATTTGTAAGTAAAAACTTCTGATGATCGCTGTGTTCACAAAGCCACTGAACGTTTTCCAAATCTGAGAAATTTAATTCCAGGTCCAGGAACAGAATTTACTATTACAACATATGCCACAGTGTTGACATTGCATAATTTACATCTCACTGATATCGTGTTTCTCTGTGTGTTTCTCCAGGCACTGCAGATTACCTACATAATATTGACATGTGAAACAACAACTGCTGAAGGCTCATCATAGACATGAACATTTCTGGCAGTTCAAGGACATTTCTAACAGGCAGTAGAAAAAAAAAGGTACTAAGCATTAAAAAAGGTTAGTAGTTATGGATGTCTTATTCATTCCCAGTTTAACTCAGTCACTTGAAACCTATTTAATAGACGTTGAGGAAAAGGTAAAATTTTAAAATAGTCGAGAATAAAAGCATGTTACCGATCGAACATAACAGCAATATTTATTGACCGATGAGTGGAGTCTTCTTTAGAGTTAGATGAATTTGAGAAATCTCCCCAGTTTTTGTGCCATGGGGCTCCAGTTTTTAAAAAATAAAAAACAAAACAAAACAAAAAACCACTTATTGGCATTTGCTCGGCTTAAAATGTCTTACCACTAACAACAACTACATCAATTGTACAGTGGTATCTCAGGAGGAGGACTGGCAGGTGACAACTTCATACCTAATTTCCGTTGAGCTGCTGCTGCTGCTGAGGAATTGCACTGTGATCAGCTACCGACTTTGCCCGGCTTTTACTTTCTCGCTCCTCATCCTCTTCATCTCGTTCATCATTTCCACTATGGTTTTTACAATAAAGCCTGGAGAAAAAAATGAGAAAGGGATCTGTTAGGGCAGTTTAACCAAGAGGCTGACCTGGCAGCCTGTAATCTCAGCCAAGACACTCCCTGGCCTGAACTTCATGCACCACGGCTGCTAGGTAACCTGGCTTGGCACATCCAGTCAAGTAATAGCAGTTGATTCCACTTCTACTTAGGTGAGCCATCTGCTATACATAAGCGCCAGTTCTCATCATTGGCTACTTGACAAAGCTTGAAAGGGGGAAACATTGATTTTATGGCATTAAAAGCCACAAATTGAACTCAAGAGTCACAAAAATGCAGCACAGTCTCCAAGATACATGTTGTGTCATGTCCTAGGCCAATCCTAGAGCAGCCCGCGTTTCCTCACCAATCTAAACAAATGTAAGACAATCTCCAGCAAGTATGCTTTCCAGGCCTTGACCTGAATATATTTCCTGGTTTGGAACTCCTTCAGCCGATTCAGTGCACCATTCATTTTGACCAATGTCCTAGGTTTACGGATTTTTTTTAAAAGAAAGAATAATGTAGCTACACAGAATCAAACACAGAGAGAGGTACAACCCACTTACTTATAAATGCCCCGTGACATGTTTTCAATGTATTTTGCTTTGTCCTGCACTCCACAATGGTAATGGTAAGTCTTGATACAAGCTTTAATCTCACATCCAATCGTAGCGCCAGACTGACTACAGAGGGTACACTTCTGTCATGAAGAGAGAAATAAAGAGAGGATGAGGCGGTGAAGTAAGGCTGGGCAGGCAAGCCAGCAGCACATTCAGTTTACTTCTTGGAAAGTTTATGATTCAAATATAATTTTAAGAAAAGAGTCGAGCAGCTATTTTTCCCGATGGCTGAAATGCAAACAGTACAAGATGTTGGGTGTCCAGTCTACAGATCTTGTGGAAAAGGACAAAACAAGCACGTTTGCATGAAGTAACAATGCTCGGAGTTCCTCTGCTAGGAGAGTTTTGAAAGCAGGTTAAAAGCAGGTTTCAAAGGTTTTAAAAGCAGAGGTGGGCAGTCACGGCAAGGAAACTGCAGCCGTCTTTCCTCCAAGCTGAAGGCTATAGGCCAGCAGAGGAATAACATCAAGGCTAACAATCTCTGACTAACGGCCATTGTTACCGGCCCACTCTGATCATGGGCTTGCCGTGAGAGAGAGAGGAAAGGGATTCCTATAGGCGCCCCTCAGATCTTTGCAGAAGACAAAACAGAGGTGGAACATCAAGTTTCAAACCGAAAGGACGTACCATTCTCTTTCCGCGTTTGATTTCTTGAAGTACAGTTTTAATATCAAAATCACCAAACTCTGCCCGGGAAGTTGTTGTCAGTTGTACAGTACCAGAAGAGAACAGCTGGGAAGAAAAAGAGACGCAGCAAGGCGTCAGAAGCACAGCTGGAGCCTGGCTGAGACCAAAACCGGGGACAGCTCTCAGCCCAGAAGGCTTGACTGGGGAAAGGGATCCAGAGGGGGAGCCTGCCAGGACCCAGACGCTAGGCAAAACAATGCCCCCCCCCCCCACCTCTTCTTGGCACCAGTAACCTTTGGTCTGACAGTCGGACACTGAATACCATGCACCCAAGAAGCGTAATTGTTTACCTCTTCCCTGCTTGCTACCGAATCAGACAAACAGGTAACACTAAGTCGTATTTTTAAATTTTTGAAGAATTAGAACCATCTTCTAATTCGAGGTTAGTGTAACCATGACAGAGCCTAGCAAGGACAGATGACATATCTGGAAACTGCCGGCTGAAGAACTCTAGGAGTTGAAGCCCACAGGAGTTAAAGTGGCCAGGTTTGATTTAGGACGACCCGGTGAACCAGAAAAAGGGAAGACAACATTCTATTTCTCACCATGCACTTGTAATGTGCTGCTGCCTTTTTGGCATTGAATATATGAAGCTTCCCTCTAGCTTCATTTTCTTCTTCACCTGCATGACAGAATCCACATTTAGGTTTTGTATCATTGGGGCTGCTTCTGTGGGGTGATCTGTCTCTCTGAAAGAAAAAGACTCTTCTAAAATAATATGCCAGAAAAACAAATACAGTTTCTAGAGAAGGCAACTGGAAGAGAAAGCCTGGTGCTTCTTTGGAGGGGTTTTAACACACAAATTCCTTACATAAGAACTGCTTTCTACGTCATCTGTGCCGTGCGAAGAGGTTGACCGAGCATCTTCCGACTGCCCTTTAAGGCTCGTCTTTCTGGGCCTTCCTTTGCGCCCCCTCTTTTTGGGAGGAGACGGATCCAGCTCATGTTCATTTAGACCTTCTTCTAAATCTGCTGGGGGGGGGGGGGGGAAAGCACAAACACAGAGATAACCAACTTGAACGACTTGTGATCAAATTCTGTAAACCTAGTAGAAATTCTGAGGAAAAAGCAACCCCATCTCAAAACAGCAGCACCGTTTCACCCTTAAAAAGACCAAAGCTGCTAGGAAGCTTACAACTATTAAAAAAATGTTTTATCACATCCATCCCAATTTAGAGGGAGGGCTATTGATGCCCATATATCCCTCTCTGCTTACATCCTATTTTGCATCTGAACCAAAGATTAGAAATTGCCAAAGCAATCCAATTCATCTTTCATCTCTCAACTCCTCCACACAACCCATTGCTCTTAAAATGGGTTGACTACAATTCCCATCCTTTCCAATCCGTTCAGTTGCTGGGGATTATAAGAACCCTAGCTGAGGATATCTGAAGGGCATAAGGTTGGGGAAGAACACTCTAGAAAGGAATTGATACCAAGAAAATGCTTGCATTCATGACCACTCTTAACACTTTTCATGGAGGGAAAAAAAAACCCCGAGCGTTGGATCCAGAGAGCTAAGAACCATCGCAAACTGTGCATAGCTTTACCTTCAGAATTGTGTGGTACTTTCTTGTGTTTTCGACATAATATCCTAGGAACAGAACACAAGAGAAAAAACAAGTTACTTAACTATTCTGGGGCTTTAGCCAAGATGGCAACCATTAAGAAAAAAAAAAAAAAGTGCTGGATCCCTTCAATTTCATGAGACGTACTCACATATATATGCCTTGTGAAGGTTTCTCTCGGATTTGTGCTTGATCATGCAATGCACAATAATAGTGATACGTCTTGTGGCAGGTTTTCACATCACAGCCAATGGTGGCCCCTGGACAATGGCATAGGGAGCACTTCTAAAAGAAAAAGGAAGACTGCCACATTAGGGCTTCTGCTCTTCCTGTGGACAGCAACAGAGGCGGGTGAGATAACCTGGCCTGCCCTTTTACTGCTATTTTAAAATGCGAGCAGGGCAAGGCTCCAGTTACAGCCCCCAAATGAGAGAAGCGGAAGAGCATCTTCAGAGGCCGGGCAAAAGCATTCCACAGCTGCCCTTCTATACCTAGTAGCTGGGAGATAACCACACCAAATGTCTGGCACAATTTAACCTCCTGGGAATTAGCTGGCCAAGGACCACAAGCCAGGATCTCTAAGCTTCTTCCATCTCCAGATCAATCTTGAACGGGCCTGGTAACCCAAATCACTGTCTCCAATTCTCAAGGTCTCTTCCACTGAGATGAAGATAATAGTTCCCCACTTCACTCGAGTTAACGGTGATGCCACCGCTGATTTTGATAGAGCCAAAACTGTACTGCATCTACCAGAAGAGGCTGACTGCAAGTTCCAAAATAAAGCAAATCTTCTCTTCCTAAGGCTTTGGGCTTTTTTGACAAGACGAAGGACGACATTTGTGTGCATGAGGTCCCACATTTATCTGCTGGCATCTCTGCTCAGCGGAATCTCAACTTCTGGTCCACAGTCTTAAAAAGCTACAGTTACTCAGGGTTCCTAGCTAGCAAGACCACACAGCTTTACGTGTTCAAAGTCGTCAGGCATTTCACCTGCGTCTCTCCACACTTGAGTACATGTTAAAAGATCAGCAGATATGATTACTGTAAGAATAGTCCACTACTCAATTGATTTGAATAGCCATATTATATTAGTGGCAATAGGGGGATTTAACTAGAGTCTGCTGATAAACTGTGTAAAATCTCACATGGCCTGGACCCTGTTACTTTCATGATTGCCTTTGTCTACTGTCTGCCCCACATTCATAGATCTTCAAGGGGACTGTAATTTGCAGCTTCATCACAGACATATGTAACAACAAGTTTTAATTGTGCCTTTTTGGTGGAGCAACTTAGGAGAAGAGCTAAAGCTAGCACCTCCCTGGGCACAGCTTGCAACATCTCTCATATAAAATGCTCTAAGCCACCTACAGCTCCAGGTACAAATTGGCAGAAAACAAAAGTTTAAAACCGTCTATCCTTTTCAGAATAATCTGAAGACTCAAGGAAACTTCTGCTCAGGAATTTTCTGTTTTATTGATCATCTGATAATACAATAACCCAATTATTTGAAAAGCAATTACAGAGCTACTTCTAAGCCGAAAAACAGCCTAAATATCAATTTCTTCCACATGACTGGATCTCTACATGCATATAGTTCTTACAGTTTTATTGTTCAGATTGGGGAAGGTTTGGTTAAGGACTACCAAGGCAAGATTTCAACAATGAACATCCTTAGAACATTCCATGATTAAGTTGTATTAGTGCCAGCAATGCTAACTTACCAGTTTTGTGCCTCTTTTTATTTCTTTCTGTACATCTTCAATGGAAAAACCTCCAAGACTCTCATTATCGGTGTGTGAAGACACCAGAGCAGACGAGAAAAGCTAGACATACAGAAAAACATTACTCAGAACCTTGTTATGCTCTTGCAGATTGGAATACATTCAATCCAACATAGGTGACCCCAGCGCAGGAAAATCTTTGCCACGGTCGCAGAAGCCTATGAGACTAGCAAGGCCATCTTTCTTGAAATTATGTCTGTCTCTCATGCTTCAATGTAACAGACACAATGGGCAGATGTTCACTCAGGAATCAGACATAACAGCTCGACAGAGGTTAAAGTCACATTAACACCAGCTAGGCTAAATCACAATGAAGAAAGGCACACACTAAGAGCAACCACGGAGGCATCTGGGAGAAGAAAGAGGCAAGGAAGAATGACACACCTCTTCCCTCCCTCCCTGCAACCACCTGTGCTGGCCCCCCTCGCTCGTGGGACTCACCATACATTTATGATGGGCTGCCACCTTCTGGTTTTCAGAGAGCATCAGCTGTCCACATTCATCTTCTTTGTTGGACCGGCAGAAGCCACACTTGCGCTGCCTCCGCGGGCCCTTCTTCTGTCCAACGGTACCCGACATGGTTGTTTTAAAATGGCTTGAAGGAAACCACTTCTATTCTGCCTTAAAGCTAGAAAAAACAACCAATAAAAACGATACTTTTATTTACTGAAGTGCAGAGAAGCTCCTCAGTATCCCTTGTCAAAGCCAGATTTATCATTAAGCACCCAAAGGGAAATGGGAAAAGGTATGACTCCTCTAACAGACCTGCACACTTCCAAAAGTGTCATTCTACAAGGGAGAAAAAACTGTGACTCAGTGAAAAATTCTCCAAAGGCAGCCTGCAAAGACTACGATTACAGCGCAGGAGAAGCGATGTCACAGTCCTTGGGCTCTGGGAACAAAGCTGTCCAGTTCTCTTCTTCTCGGATTTTCTGGAAGTGCCCATTGCATACACATTCTAGAAAGTGGGAATCTGAAAACGAATGTACTGAATATGGGCATTCTTTGCATTCAGAGATAGAGCCTTAAGTAACCAATTTATACACAAGAGGAAATTGATGTGCTGCCACGTTACAAACATTTTTAAAGGAATCAAAATTAGTGGAAAATTTCTCCCCCAAACAGGAAAAAAAAAATCAAAGCAAAATCATGTCCCAACAATTAAATGTCAGATTTTGGATCCAGACACATCCAGGGCTACAAACTGCTGATGGCTTCATTCAGTTTTCTGGGCGACCCTCCCCATAATAACGTTCTTTGATGGCACATAATTCCATAATACCCTCAAAGAGCATTAAGTCGAGGAAGCCAGGGCATGACTCTGGTCTTGGTATCCAACCTAAGACTGCTGCAAGGTCACAGCTTGTTGAGAATTGTAAACAGCTTCTATTTGCCCTGCAATCACTTCTGGAAATTGCTTAGAAAAAGGACTTACATGAAAACCCATATTGTCTACCTTCCTCCATGAGAATGTGCAGAATATTCTATGTTTTTCACTGGGGGGAAAAATATCAGCATATAGCGCTACCATTACTTTTCATACAGAAAAAAAATCTACTTTCACTTGCCATTCTGAAATAAGGGTGCTTGAACAGAGATTAATGTTTTAAAAATAACTCTCCATAGCCTTAGTTTATTGGCGCCAGGTTCTCCGTGTTCCTCTCCAACCTACTTTGTGAATGATTTGGGCTGTAGCCCAATATATCAGAAGGGTTCCAGATAGGAGAACTTGAATACATTCTGACCCAAAAAAATTAATCCAGATATGCATTTGTGGTTTTGGTACTGAAAGCTCCTTTGACAAGTTCCGAGCTAACAATGGTTTCATGCTTTATAAAAAATGCTCAGCAATGTTTTCCTCGCTGTGGCAACACAGCCTCACCATAAGGGGACATGAATTCCAGCAACGTTTTGCATACAAACCCAAGCTTTACCTTCTCCTCACTCAGAACCCCAACCAAAGCCATACTAGACGGGGGTCCTTCCGTACGGCCACTAAGTTCCAGGCTGAGGGCACCCTTGGGACTTTAGCTCTGAAAAAACAGGGCTGTCCAGGGAAGCAAGGCTATCTTTGGTGCAAGAGGCTCTCCCCCAAGGCGGCAAGCTTGGTCCCTTCCCCCCCAATATCAGCTGCATGGTATGCCCTTCGGGTAGCCTCCACTGCTTTCCGAAATGGATGGTTCCAAAAGCAAAGGGGGGCGGGGGGAGAGAACGGCCCTAAAAAGACAGTTCCACAGCAGCCGGCTTTATTCAGCCCCAAAGGAGGGAGGGCAGCAGTGATGTCACCTAAGCCGAGGGTAAGGAGGGAAATTCAAGAGCTGGTCCACATGCTGGCTATGCCTGAGCTGCCAGCCAGGCCCCAGCATGTCCCTTTTCCAAGAGATTCGGGCGTCCTTAGATCTCAAGAAGGCCAAAGACTACCTAGAGGAAATCCAAGGAACTGAGCGATAGGCGAGGGGGTTTAAGACCCCATTTGGGACTGTGGAACTTGTGCCACAATAAATACACTGTACCGTTTCGGAAATATTATAGGGCAAGTAACTGAAAGATAATATTGTTCAGCCTATAAATAAAGACTGTCAAATCCGTTTGTGAAAATGGGGACCTCCCTTCTACATGTTTTGTCACCCCACCCTTAACATCTCTTTCCGGGTCTCTCCCTTCACGGCAGTTAGAAGGTGCCTCTGACATCACCTTAGCCCTAAAGACTTTGACAAAGCCAATTCCCCCCCCCCCCCCCCCCAAAAAAAAACGCAGACTAACTGTGTGGGGGGGAAAACACATTAAATACACCCTTTCCACACCTGTGCAGGTATACAAGTGCCAGTGCAAAAGACCTCAAACGATTAGCAGGGTCATTTCTTGAATCAGCCAGACCCAGGTGGGGGGCAAGCGTCAGAAGTCGAATGCCAAGCTGGCACGGGATTCAAAGGGCATCTCGATCACCACCCTCTTTCCCCCCTTCCCCTCGGCCTCCCAGGAGTAAGTCCAAGGGCAGAACTGGGTCTCTGGTGGGTTTGGGCAGAGCCTCTGGGGAGCGGAAGGGGATGCACCCCGCTGACTATGCCAAGGTGAACCCCGAGCCTCCCGTGGGACTCTAGGAGGAGAGGATAAACCCCCCTCTGGTCAGACTGCAGGGACCCTCCCCTGCACAGGGGCCTTCCTGGAAGCGCTGGAATTGCAGCGTTTAGGGCTGCCCTCCGAGGTGGGAGGGGGCCGGGCAGGTTCGGAAAGGCCAAAGCAGTTCAGGAGGGAGCCCTGTGGGCAATGCCCTGAACCCGGGCGGGCTAAGCCCCCGCAGAGCCTACCTGGCCCTCCCCATTCGGTCCGCCACAGGGAGACCCCCGCCTATGGCCCACCGTGGGAAGCTGCTGCAGGGCTGCCCCAAGGGCCCAGCCTGGCGCTCCCCCCCCCCCCGATGCCCCCCCGCATCCCGAGTCCCCGCCCTGCAGGGGCGCCCCCAGGGAGGGGGGGGGGGGTCCTCGGTGCCAACCGGGACAGCTTGGCTTGGAAGGCCCCCCGCCCAGGACCCGCCAGTCACCTCCGCTTTCGAGGCAGGGAAAACGGGGCGGGGGCCCCTTTCCTTCTGAGGACCCCCACCACCATCAGCAGGAGCAGGGTCCCCACCCCCACCTCCCCCTCTCCCCGGGGGCTGCGGGGACCCCTCTCCCCCCAGCAGCAAGGGGGGCTGGGTCGGCCACCTTGCGGGGCCGGGCAGGGGCGAAGCGCCCCGGAAGCGGCGGCCCTTCCCTCTCGGACCCCTGCCCTTCAGGGGAAGGGGGGGAGGGGGACAGTTTCCATAGCAACCTGCCGGGGTGGTGCCCGGGCGCGGGACTCACCGGGCGGCTCAGGCCGACGGGGCCGGCGGAAGCGGGGGACTCGCGGGAAGCGCCGCTCAGAAGCCGACCGGGACCGCCACCGCCGCTCGCCCGCTCCCTTTCATTCGGCGGGGCAGCAGGAGAGGCGACGCTGCGCCGCGGAGCCTGACGCCAGCACGCAAGGGACGTACGGCGTGCCGCCAGCGAGCGAGCGTCGACCGCGCTACCGGCGTTCTACGTCAGCCCCGACGTCGCCCTCCCTCTTCCCCTCCCCTGGCGGACGCCGCCGTCGCGCACGCGCCGAGGGAAAAGGGAAAGAAAGGGAAACGCCCCCCCAAAGAGGAGCGCGTGCGCAGAAGACCGCGCGACGGTTGGGATGAGGCCAACAGCCTATCTCGTGTGTGGAAGTAGAGTCGCGCGTGCGCATTTTCTTTCGCTTCCTGGGAAGGGTTGAAGCGGCGCTTCCATGCAGGCGCATCGAAAAGGAAGTAGGCGCCCGACGGCGCTGCGAAGCAATTGAGCATGCGCGAAGAAGATTCTTCATCATCATCATCATCATCATCATCACCACCTTCTTTTTCTTCTTCCTCTTCTTCTTCTTCTTCTTCTTCTTCTTCTGATGATGATGGTTGTTGTTGTTATTATTATTATTATTATTATTATTATTATTATTATTATTATTATTATTATTATTATTATTATTATTATTATTATTATTAATCCATTTGGTGTCGGACTGCTTTCCAACGCCCTCCAATCAGCCGGGAACTGAAATGATTTATTGAAAATATAGTTGTTTCATTATTTGAAAAACAAACCCTTTATATAGGTAAGAAAATTAATGAAGAAGTGCCGTAGTGTCAGGCCACACATGCTGGGCGTGCAAACACGTGTCTAAAGAGAATCGGCGCATTCAAAACTTTTGCGGGCTTTTTGTGCTGCAAAGCAGCGGCGCCTCTCGAGCTGCGGAAGGGCTCCCCCTCCTGGCCGAGGGCGGCCTGACAAGCAGACTCCTGACACCAGAACTGGGGGGAAAGGAAATTTAAACCTCCGGTGTTGGCGGTCTATGGAGACTCTCCGTCATCCAGGCCACGGTTGTCCCAAAGGTGCTTTTTCAAGAAGCAACTGGACTTTCTCATCCGAGAAGCTTCTTCCCCACCCTCCAGTTAGAGTGGAAGAAGCTTCTTGGATGAGAAGTGAAACATCTTCAAAAACCCCCACAGAAAGTCCAGTTGCCTCTTGTAAAAAAGCACCTTTGGGACTCCAGGAGGAGTTTCTGGCGGGCCTTTTGCTGGCTGGGGAATTCCGGCAGTTGGAAACCACCCTCCTTCAAGTGGCCACGTTTGAGAAACGCCTCTTTTGGTCTACTGGATTGAAATGCAGGGGAGCCACATAACATGCATTGGATGAAAACCTGCCTAACTATCCACCTGCCAGCCTCTTTAAAAACAAATCTGGTTTCCCAGCCCTTTGCAGAGGCTCACCCGACACACCAAGGCTGGCTTCCACCTGCCACACTTGAGCTTCCTGAGAAATGGAAAACGGGATTTAATAGGATTTGCTTCCTCGTGTCTTAGGACCTCGGCTGATTTGGACCAACGGGGATCAGCAAATTTAACGGGTAACCTGAAGTACGAACCTGTGCCTGGTGAAGCAGGACCTGCTGGCTTGATAGACAAGGAGAAGCATTTACGAAACCCAGGGGCTGGGTTTACACACCCCACTAAACTAAACAGACCACATTTGAAGGGTGTGAATGCTGCAATCTCTCAGCCTAGCCCACCTCACAGGATTGTTGTGTGGTTAAAACGACGTTGGGAGGAAGGAATGGCTTTTTCTTGGAGGGCTTGCATAGAAAAACTCTGGTAATTGGGGGTTTTTTTTGGAGGGTGGCGGGACGCAATCCGCATTTTCCAATGGAAAGGTTACTTTGTGCCAAAGCGTGAAGAGGGATGCATGCTGGTTTTGCAAGCCAGAGCTAATTAACTGCCCTCTTTCTAGCCCACTTGCCACATTCTTTCTAGTTCCTCCCCCTCCTCTTTTCCCCCACCAGGCTACCCAGCTGGGCAACGGTGGAATGAAGCTTTTTCCCTCACTCTCCTCGGGAACAAAATGGGAAGCACTGTGGACTGGCATTTACACACAAAATGGTTTGCTCAACCTTGTTTTCCTTATCGTAAGCCACCTTCAAAGGAGTGGGGGGAAGAGGGTTGCTTCAAGCCAACAATATGGATGCTGGAAATGGGTGTGAAGAGCCCGCGGTGGTTTTGTCCATTTCCAGCAGCTGAAAAACCCAGAAGGTCCCGACTCACAAAGCTGGTGTACGGGGTGAGACCGCAGTCCCCCAAAATGATATTTGGACAGATATTTGGACTTCAGCAGAGGGAGAAAAAAGTTTCCTTTGGGTCAGCAGGAGATTGGTTTGTCCTTGTGGTTTTTAAAATCTTCCCATCTGCTCTTGCTGACTTTACTGGGGTCAGAATTTTCCTCGCTAAGCAAAGTGGTTGTGAAATGAGCCACACCCGATTTGATCTTTCAGCCATGGTTGTTAAATGAGGCACTGCAGTTGTTACGTGAATCGCGGAGTGGGGAACTCTGGGATTCCCTAAACCATAGTTGGCACTCAGACCAGGATAGGGCTCGCCATCCCTTGCTGTTAAAGACACACCAAAACTGCGAAATTGGCCGTACCTTTTTCACTCTAGGTCTTCCCAAAGAGCAGAAATTGTATGTGTGCCCATGGGTGTGCAAATATTCCACTTGTCCCTCATCGTGATTGGATTATTTCTCCACTATGGTTGGAAGAGACAGAAAATCAGGAATGCAAAAGATGGTTGAAATCTGCTTGCCAACGTTTGCCAAACTCGATCCTCTCTCTTGCTGTCCCTCCCTTGGGAACTTTTGAAAAGCCAGCCTTTGGCTCTGAAACCTTTCAGGGGCCGGAGACAAAAAGCTGCCCTCCTACTGACCTTGGAGCTGGGTGACCATTCGGTGCCAGAGGGACCAGGAGGGGATGAAGAGAGCCTATTGACCGGCCCACGGCTGGTGCCCCAAAGAGCCAGAAGCACACAATGAAACCCCAGCTGCTTTTGTGTCCCCGTGTCGGTCAAGAATGGACATCCGACATCCCCTTCCACACCCTTTGCTGTCGTCTCTGTATGGCAAAATAAGGAGACGGTCACAAAAATCTCTTTTGGCATCCTTTGCAATATTGATTCGGGGCAAGAATTTTTGCAGCAATACCTCGAGAAGCAGTCAGAGCGAGTTTTAGGTTGGGGGAAAAAAAATATGGGGGTGGCCTTTTCTGGGGCATAAAACCTCTGAGAAACAGATTTATGGCAACACTCTGGTGCTTTGAACGGTTTGATTTTGAGAAAGGGGTCTTGGAAGGCGTGCGCTTCGGAGATTGGCATTCTCTGGGTGCGTAAGATTGAAAAGGAAGCCTTTATTTTTTTTGTGTGTCAAAGAAACACAAAGAAAACACTTACTTGTGGAATAAGCCACTCACTGTGGTTTTTAAACTGCACTGACTGGGAACATTTTATCAGCCGCATTAAGGTAGAGCCGATCATGAAATTATCTTTCCTGGAAGGCTAAGCTGCTTTGATGGAGATGGGATCTAATATGGGTAGACTTCAACTTACTATTCATTTAGCAACTCTTCAAACAGCTCTGAAAATTGTGACTTATGACCAATCCTCACACTTACAACCATTACAGCTTCCTCAGGGTCATATGATCAAAATTAGGGTGCTCGGTAACCAAACCTGTATTTACAACGGGGGCACCTTGAGGTTATGCGGTTGCCAGTTGCTCCCTTCCCTTGTGGTGACATAGTTTAAAAGCACACCAAAAGTAAAACAAATACTTAAATTTTAATTCTAAAACAGGACTGACTTTGCTTTCGCCCAGGGTGAAAACAAAAAGTAACATCTAACAATAGTCTCAATAATAACTGAGTTAGAAGGGACCTTGGAGGTCTTCTAGTCCAACCCCCTGCTTAGGCAGGAAACCCTATACCATTTCAGACAAATGGTTGTCTAATCTCTTCTTAAAAACTTCCAGTGTTGGAGCATTTGCAACTTCTGGAGGCAAGTTGTTCCGCTGATTAATTGTTCTGTCAGGAAATTTCTCCTTAGTTCTAGCTTGGATTTCTCTTCCAAGGCTTCTTGGCCTACCTTCAGGTGCTCTGGAGAACAGATTTACTCCCATCCCATCAAATATTGGAAGACTGCTATCATGTTACTCCTTGGTCCTCCCCTCCTTCTCTTAACTGGACATACCCAGTTCCTGCCACTGTTCATCTATGGTCTTTGAGGCCATAAATGTTCCCCTTCTTTGTTCTACAACTTGCTGCTTACTTGGATAGCAGCATAAGAACAGGATTCATTACAAATGGTTGGGGTTTTTTTGTGGGGGGGGGGGTTTGCTTTCCATCCTGCCTGATCCTCTGTGCGGTTTTATAGGCTGTTGGAACCGGTGTGGGTTTGAACCATCCTTGCAAATTGCCAAATGCAAGGCCTTTGTGTTCTGCTGGTTGGCTCCCCCTCCCTTCCCCCAAGGCCCCTTCCCCACACCCTTCCCCCAACCCCCAGGCCCACATTCTTCCTTGCTTACAACAGAAGGATGCACTTTGCTTGACCTTTGAAGTCTCTGACCACTGGGAATTCAAAAGAGTGGAGACACCAAGAGGTACCATTGTCCGGCCAAATGAGCTTCTCCGGAGGGGGGCAAAGCAGCTAGATTCCACAATCAAATCCCTGTTTGCTGGAGCATTTCCATGAAAAAAGCCGGCCAGACAAATGGAAGATTCTCCAAGGGTCTTAAAGATGCAAAATGTCTCCCTCTAAATCCAGGGTAAACGAAAGCAGCGAGGGAAGGGAAGGTTGACTGAGTTGTGGCCCATTACCAAGCTCAGTTACAAGACACAGGGGGGAAAAAGTCAGGCATGGTTTGGGGAGGGGTAGCTTCTCAGATCTTCTCAGAGTAGGAAAGACAAAAAATTCCTTACTGAAATAAGTCTTCCGTCCCTCAACCAGAGCTCTTGGAGATAACCCTCAAGTTCTCCGCAACCCTCATCCCCCTAAGCTCAGGAGAACCTGCTTAGACTAGTCTTCAGCAGGGCTTGTAACGTTAGATGCCTTCAAAACAAAGAGATCCATTGAATTCAAGGCACTGGGTCTACTTTTAACATAGTTTAATGAGTTCATCCACCCAGTACTGTTTGT